TAAATTAAATTTTCCTTGGTTGATAGGGGGCATCCATCAATTATGTTTTCTGATAATTTTGACCCTCCTTCCCCTAGGTGAGATGTGAAAATGTGAATGTGAAATTCTGGCCATGAAACTTTCTTTGTGAACATCATGATATACCCCATAAAAGTAAACAAAAAAACATTTTTTTTAACAAAATTAAATTATAATAATACATATTCTTTAAACTCAAAAGTTGACGTAAGATTTTCAATGACCCCCCGTCCCTTAAAATGAGATTTTGCTAGACCCCTATCCCCTCCATTTTTATCTCACGTAATTAATGTATGTCCCCTTATCTTTATATGTGGATTAATTATGTGGACCATACAATTAGCATAATAAGCTTTTTTGCCAAAGAGTAAACTTATATAAATACAACTATTAAATAGGAATTAATTCATTAATTTTTTCCAAAATTCTTGGCCTAAAGTGTCGGCTAGCAATAATATACATATATATATATATATATATATATATATATATATATATATATATACAGTGTGACCCATTTGTTTGCGACTCACCCCTGTAAAATCTTTATTTATTATGCGATTTTAACCGGATTTGTTTTAAAGTGTAGATCTTGATAAACTGTATTTTTGAAGTAAAAAACGCCATATTTTTACAAAATACATGCCTACTACGTCAGTTTTTAAGAAAGAGTTTTTAATAATTCATATTAGCGATTTTTTTAAACAAAATCTAAACACGGCACTGGATTCACCACCCCTCAAAACAACCCTATACTAATTTTTAGAAGAAAAATGCACAATAATAACTACAAAATTAAACTAATAGTAACATGGTACTATTACTATAAGTTTTTTTTATTTCAATGTTTTTTCATGGATAACTTGAAAGAATAAATTTTTGTAGTAATTATTGTGCATTTTTCTACTTAAAATTTTTCAATAAAATTTAGTAAAGGGTCGTTTTAAGTGGTGGTGAATCCAGTGCCCTGCTTCGATTTTGTTTAAAAAAATCGCTAATATGAATTCTTAAAAATGTACTCTTAAAAACCGACATAGTAGGACTTGTATTTTGTCCTAATATGGCGTCTTTTGTTTCAAAAATACAGTTTATCAAGATCTATAATTTAAAACAAATCCGGTTAAAATCGCACCATAAATAAAGATTTTACAGGGGTGAGTCGCAAACAAATGGGTCACACTGTATATACATATATATAATAAAGATTATAAATAGGGTTGCCATATTCTGTTAAAAAAACGGGACAATTTTATGAATTTACCAAATCTGATATAAAAATAAACAATTATTATTAGTTTCAGGAAAAGAATAGAAGAAGAAAAATATGAATCAGTTGCCTCTTAAACTGCAGAATGAGAATTAATCTATCTCAAGTAAGTAAAATTAATATTATTAATAACGTGATAAAAAAGTAATTTTTGCTTAAAACATGATGAATATACTTATTCTGACACCTCTTGGCAGAAATATTCTTGTTGATAAACAGTATAAAACTGATGTAATCCATACTTTTTATGTTCAACACCTTTAAGAGCAATTTTATTTAAAAATTATCAATTTTAGATAAAAACAAACGTAGATTGAAGAATGGAAAATTTTCCTGACTAAAATAATTAAACTTCAATGGATAAGACTGATAAAGTTTCATGAGTCCTCTTCAGGTTAGTACTTAATTTAATAAATAGTATTAAACATTTAAAGGATTTTTATGAATATACTAATATTCCTGACTCCTCTTGGCAGATATATCCTTAAATGGTATAAAATAATTCATATTTGTTTTTTATGTTCCACACATTTTATAACAATTATATTTAAAGTATATATTAATTTTAGAAAAAAAAACAAGAGTTGTGCGGCTAAAATCATAAAAGCTTCTAAACCCCAATGGATGAAACAACAATGATCATCAATATAGATATGTTTCAAAAATGCTCTGTTCAGGTTAGTATTTTACATACAAATTATTAAGGAATAAACAGATTTTAACATGATGAATTTCAATACAATATATTTTCTGACACCTCTTCAGAATGTTTAGTGGTGATTTGTACTTCTGATCAATGTCTAAAACTGCTAGTTTAACTTTTTGTTTTTGCATGTTCTAATTCTAATTATATTTTTGTAGAATTACGTTGATGTTTAGACAAATGACTACCAATCACAATTGTAACAACTTCACCGCCTAAAATTTATAAAAATTTGATGATTCAAACGCCTCATATTCAGGTAAGTACTTCATATAAAAACTTATTTTTTACACCTGTACTATTTTAAAATGATGATTTAGTATTTTTTTTACATCTCTTCAAAAATAAAAACTTGTAATTAATTTGACAAAATCAAATCCTTTAAATTAAATTTTCCTTGGTTGATATCAAATTTTACAATGGCATTATCTTTATAGGTGGATTAACTCTGGGGGCCATACACTTAATTAGCATAATAAGTTTTGTTGTGAAATAATCCTAGAAGGTAATTGGAGATGATACAAATCAGTATTTTTTGGGAACAAGTACGTCGCATAACAGGTCCATTAACAGGTATAATACCTGTTACTTTAATACCTAGTATTTTGTATTTTGTTTCCCACCAAAGCAGTCTCTCAAATATTTACATTACATATGATTCATATATGAAATGAAGGGTAAGAAGCAAAAGAGTACCAGTGCATTTTAGCATGAAAATAAGTGCAGAATTAGTTACTTTTTGAGACCAAATTAAAAAAAAATCTATGTGATAATTGTACGAGTTCTGTATGTTGATTAATGCAAAAATATTGAAACAAGAATCCAGATTTTTCTTTATAGCAAAAACTTTAAAAGTTAATAACTTCTCTTTTTAGCACTTGTACCCTTTTGCTTCCCACCCCTTCATAATAATAAAATGATTTATTAGTAAGTTGTAACAGTTAAAATTTCATAAATATAGTGTTTATTAATATATTTCATTACCGCCAAGTGCCAACCATGACTGGTTACCAGTGGTGACTGACTGAATTTCGCAAATACATCAACTAGTAATACTAGGTGGACCCAGTATTTTTGAAAATAATAGGTGTATCCAGTATTTTCCAAAATACTAGGTGGACCCAAAGATAATACATTATCTTAGGGTGGACCTAGTATTTTCTGAAATTGATTCCTGTTCCTGGTATTTTGTGTCATCTGTAAATCAAATTATTATTACACCTATGCATGCTAATTACATGCTTATTACAATTATTCATTAAGCTTTTTTGTCAAAGAATAAATTTATACAACCATTAAATAAAAATAAATTCATTTAGTACGTTTTTTACTTCCCCTAATTTTTTGGCATTGGCGCCTAGCAATTGAAGCTTGATAAAGATTATAAATAGGGTTGCGATTTAAAAACGGGACATTAGCTGGCCATACACAGACGTTATTTCGCGCGGTTTATCGTGGCGTGTTGGCATGTAGCGGTTTGCATGCACGAAAGAACGGCGTGGCAAAAAAAGCGTCATGTTCCATACACTTGATAAAGTATTCAAATGATTTAGCAAGTGATTGCCCGTGGTATATCAGTTTCAAAGGAAAAATCGTATGTGAGTGGGCAAAAAGTGTCATTTATCGAGTCGTTTGAAACTGCATGTGATCATGTACAAATTTTCAACGTGAAATTTTGCCAAGCAAAGGTAAACCGTGACGCGGAATGTGGCGTGTGGACACGCCACACTCCAGAGAAAAGCACGTCTGAAATCCCTTCCCGTTCTATCATTTCGCGCGGCGATACTCACTCACGTACATGATTTTCCATATGTTTTTGCAGATAAGACGATAAACCGCGCGCAATAACGTCTGTGTATGGCCAGCTATTAGCTGGCCATACACAGGCGTTATTTCGCGCGCTTTATCGTGGCGTGTTGGGATGTAGCGGTTCGTATGCACGAAAGAACGGCATGGCAAAAAAAGCGTCATGTTCCATACACTTGATAAAGTATTCAAATGATTTAGCAAGTGATTGCCCGTGGTATATCAGTTTCAAAGGAAAAATCGTATGTGAGTGGGCAAAAAGTGTCATTTATCGAGTCGTTTGAAACTGCATGTGATCATGTACAAATTTATAACGTGAAATTTTGCCAAGCAAAGGTAAACCGTGACGCGGAATGTGGCGTGTGAAAGCACGTCTGAAATCCCTTCCCGTTCTATCATTTCGCGCGGCGATACTCACTTACGTACATGATTTTCCATATGTTTTTGCAGATAACACGATAAACCGCGCGCAATAACGTCTATGCATGGCCAGCTATTCTGTATAAATTTACCTTCATTACAAAACTGACACAAAAATAATCTTTTGACCTTTATTACTTAAATGCATTTTAGCGTTGTAAGGCAAAATAAGGGTTCCCATATTTTCTGGGACATTTAACCTTTATTACAAAAATAACACTTTCAACAATAACTAGGAAACGTCAAATTTAAAATTTGCATTGAATGATTTGACTTGTAGAATAGGGTGGAGTGAATTTTTTTAAATTTATTAATTGATTTTTCCTATATTATTAATTGTTGACTAAAGGCGTAAAATGAATAAATATCGAAAAAATATTCCAATTTTCCAATATCTTGAGGTGGCGCATCAGTCTCGAAGTTTTGAAAATTCTAAAAAAATATTACTTCAATCAAAGTAATAAAAATAGCATTATTTATAAATAAAAAGTTTATTTTAGTAAAATTAACGTGAAACGTAAACATATTTAATAGTAAATCATAAGCTTTAAGTAACTTCAGGAGTGTTTATTGGTAGAAATGAGATCTTCTTTTTCGCGAAAATACTGACATTTGGTATCAAAATTTGGTAATTATTTTCTGACTTGAATTATTGTTCTGATGAAACCATCTCTTGCTTTCGATCCACAAACCGAGACTGAAGATTCAGTATACTGGTTATAACCAGTTTTACACAGCGTTCCACTGCTTGGGTGTGACGAAAATTTTTGGAAGTATAGGAAATGGTCACCCGAAGAAATCATATCGGTAATTTCTGTCATCGTATTTCATAGTCATAGGTGGTTCAGTCACCTTTTCTGTCGCCCAGTGAATTAACTCGTACAAATGTAATGCTTCAGTATTTAGTTGGGGAAGATTTAATTCCCGTAATATCGAACATTTTGATTCTTTTCTCGCCTTTAATATTTTAGGCAATGCTAGTTCTCTGATCGATAGATATATTGTAGGTAACATAGCAAGTAATAGGTTTTCGGGATAAATATTAGCTATAGCTAACAAAGATCCAGGAAAGATAGCACATTCCCTATGGCTGGCGTGTGCTAATAGGATTATTCGTTTATATGTGGGGACAGCAAATCCATCGGAAAACCTAAAAGAATTGGCTACTTTTGTCATGAAAGTGTATGCCCCAACGTGGTTTTACATCAACACCAAGCCTACGTGCAAACATGGTCCTATTCACATATTTAATATGACTAAAAGAGCATTGCACCTCCAGAAAAACTTGAAGGCCTTATAACTATAGTTATAAAGAATATTCAGCTATCTTTCCTGGATCTTTGTTAGCTCTCAAAGTTTGATTTCCATCCAACATCCAACAAAACCATTTCAACTTTTAGTAAAAAAATCACATATTTATATCTGAAACATAGGAAGTGTTGTAAAAAAAACAAAAAACGTCACTTTTTTCCAAAGCCTACTACAAAGTTTTAATGAAAATATGAGATGTGTATAATATGCAGAGTAATTTATATATAAATGCATTTTTCTCGAAAATGGTGCATCTGAGCAATTCAAATCAAGAGTACCTATTTTTCGTAAAAAACTATAAATTCTCATAATTTCATAAAAAAAATTATTAATTAATTAAAATTATTAACCCAGAAAAAAGTTGGGGCTATTTTTGTAACTTTGCCCCCTCCGAATGTTACGCCTATGATTAAATTTTAACAGTTTTGATCATAGATCTTGATTCAGCATGTCAAAATTACCAAAGTACCGAAAATTTATTTGTTCATGTTCAACCCTCTAGGAATAGTTTTAAAAAAAATATCCTCTTAGGCTCCTATTCAGGGGGCCGTAGCTCCTTTAGGGAGCATTTTTTGATACATGTTTATTAAACAAAAAAAAGTGTTATTTTTATACGAATAATGCACTGTTTAAGTTTGGCCCCCTAATTTCGGGACACCCGTATAATAATAATTGTACCATAAATGTTAAAAAAACGCGAAAATTCGATGGAAATCAAACTTTGGCCTCGAATAACTCTGGAAGGAATCAATTTATAGAAAAATGATAGGAGACCTTTTTTGTAGAGCGTTAAATTTACTATGAAAATCTAAGATGATCCTTGACATAAGTTGATTCGATTCAGACGTATAAAATTTCAAAGTTAAAAAAAAAATTCCCATGTTATTTAAATGGGAAATAGAAAATTGCGATCCGAGACCTCTAAATCTTCAAATTAAAAGCTCAAATTTTGACGAGGTCTTTGTGTTGACATCCTCTGAAAGAATTTGCCGACCATTTGAAGAAAAAGTAAAAGTCGATTTTTTTGAAACACCCTAATATATATATATATATTATATGTATGGCGTTCGCGACCACTGAACAGTACACTTCTGCGTCAAGAGTTCCCGCGATTCAAAGTTTCACCGTTAATATGTTATCCGAGGACGATTTATCTGATCCTGACGAGAATGCCCGCAATGTGAAAGACAGAGGAAAAAGAGATCGAAGCGTGAGTCCAGAACTACAACTACTGGGATTTGATGGAGACACTCCCATCTACAACACCGCTAGGAAAAAACACAAACACACGACAGCAGAGCCCGAGATAATCCCCGAAAAAACTGCAAGTACTTCAACTATTTCCATACAAAAAAAAAACTCTACTGCAAAAAATTTACATGTAAATAATTCCGCAACAAAACCAAACATCAATTCAAACAATAACAATAATCATTCCCACTCACAGACCACCAAAACAAATGGACGGATTTGTTTACATTTAAAAAGCGAGTAAAGCATAGTTTCACATTCTAAACACCGTCGAAAGAAACACGGCTTCCAACGTTGTCAGAAGTATAGATTACACGCCTTTTTGGACGTTCATCATAACATAATGAAGATTAATAATTACCAGTAATTCGTTTAAATAATAAAAAAAATGTAAAAAGGATTTGTTCATCATTTTCTTTAGATATTTTTCTCTATTTAAAGAAAGTAAATCATTTAATAATTATTAAAATTAAATATTAACAACGTTGGTAAATTCGTCATATTTGATAGCATAGAAAAAGATTGACAGCTTGTTGTTTTGTGTTTTCGTTTGTGTATTTCTATCGGGTTTAAGTTAATTATGGAGTTTAAATACATTATTTTTTACTAAAAATAACAATACATGGAAATATCGTTTGTAAGTACCTACCTACTTATTATTTTTTTAATCCCAATACGTCACTGGAAGAAAACATAAAATTCTATCGCCAATTTAACGCTTAGACTGTGACCGTTTGTTGACGTCACTGGAAGAAAACATAAAATTCTATCTCCAATTTGACGCTTAGACTGTGACCGTTTGTTGACCGCAAACAAAGCATTGTTATTGAATGGCAATGCGCCGTCCATTTGTTTTGGTGGTCTGTGTTCCCACTACAATTTCTCGTTAATGAAAGAAATAAGCAACAAAAGTTTCAATACTCTAATTTACATCACTAACGACAACGAAAACTTTACCAGAATTAATATGGCAGATCTTTGGTCAACTATTTACCCAACTTCTAAAGACGTTATTTTAAAGACTAAAAAAGGTTTTTTATTAAAATCCAACAACAACAAAGAAATTCTGTTTACTACTCTTGACTCTTTAATAGGCGAAGGAAAGATTACCTCTTATAAACCAACCATTGATAAGCCTAAACAAGATCAAAACAAAACAACACGAGAGGCCTCTTATGTCATTAATGCAGTCGAACCAGAAATCCCAGACAACCTAATCAGCAAACATCAAACACAGATACTGCAAAAGAATAACAGCCAAAGCCACAAATAAACCCACTCGTCTTATAAGAATTATAACTGGTGACCTCCCGTCATTTGAAAAACTGCTAGGCAGAGGAATGTTTTACAAAAACTGCCATTATGCAGTTTTCCCTAGCTCTCCTCCCCCTCCAGTACCCCTACCTTGTGGCAAATGTTCCTCATTTGAACATAAAACCGAATTATGCAACTCTCCAATTACATGCCTAAAATGTAAGGGAAAACAATACTTCAACCTGCAGTTCTAACCTTCCTCCTAAATGTACAGCATGCAACGCTGAAGATCACGCAGCCTGGTCCTTTAAATGTCCAAAACGACCTACCCAACCTATTCCCGACATCCCTAATATCCCTATTAAGTCATTAAACAAAAAATCGGATGAAATACAGGATCTTCCAAAATTCATAGTCCGGTTACAAAACACGACTTCATTATAACTACATACATTCACGAGATCAACAAAAACACAGTGAACAATAGGGAAGAGTTGCTACTAATCCTAAAGAAAAAAATTATAACCCTTTGGAACATAGATACCACGGCAGTCTTCACCCAAAATAGACTTTACATCCTCATGTTTGATCTAGAGAATTTATGAGAATCACCAACAGAAGCTTCACAAGACCTACAATATAGTCAAAACAATGGATACGATTAAACTCATATATTGCAACATCAATAGTTTCAACAACAAAAAGCACATCCTATATCACACCATTCAAAAAATGGGCATAAAAGGCATCCTACTTGTGGAGACCAAAACCAAACCCTCCCACAATACTTCTTACCGAGACTGGAGCAGACTGCAAATAGATGGCAATATAGTAAATCTAAATAACAGAGGGGTCTAGTTCAAATGCATCCTGCATTAAAACTAAAAAAAGACAACGTTCCCATAATAAACAACCCATTAAACGAATGCTTGCATTTCTCCATTCCATTTAAAGACGATTCTTTGCATTTTCTTCTAGTCTATGTTCATCCGAGTGCCCCTATAGAGGAATCTATCTTTTTTAAAGCAACGTTCTTTAAATACTGTATAATAATTGGAGACTTTAACCCAAATCTCAGAAAATTTAAACAGTTAAAAAACTTCACCACCCATTCGAATTTTAAACAACTCCACACACCTCCAACTTTTTTAATGGAAAACAATAACGACTCAACTCCAGATATTATACTTCATTCGCAGAACCTCACACAATATGTAATTATGTAAGTCAGCAATTAGGTCTACTGTTAACAGTAGACCTAATTGCTGACTTAGGCTCTGACCACCTGGCCATGCTTTTAAGCCTCAAAGCAGACAATTTTGAAGAACCAGTGCCAAGGGAAAAATGAGTTTTCAACAAATGCAATGTAGAATCCATAAACCATGAAATGATAAACTTCATCAATGATCATGCAAGTCCGAGTCCCAATATCATAAATCAATTTAACACTAAACTCAAGGAATGTATATTAAGTAACACTCCTAAAAAACAAGTAAAAGGCTCTGTAAATGAGTTACCGCCGTTTATCGCCGGACTTCTCAAACTAAAACGTAGAATGTACAGGGAATACAGAGCTGTTCAAGATCCCAACACAAAAGCCAATTTAAACAAATTAGGAAAAAATATAAAACATTTAATTTTTATGTATGTTAACAAGAAGTGGACTAAAGATATAAACAATGCCAAAGCAAAAGATTCTTCTCACAAATTAGGAAACTGTCGAGATACAAAAAACAACATAAGATATCTGACATAGAAGAGAATGGACAAACATATCACTCTGACAGTGACAAGGCTAAGGTCTTCGCAACTCACTTTGAGAAAGCATTTTTCCCACAACCAAACCCCAACTTCGATGAAAACCATCTACAATTTGTGGACAACTGGTCATGGATCAAACTCAGTTTACAGAATCTACAATTGACGAAAATAACTACTATGAACTACTCTCCAGCCAAAAGAACTCATGAGTTCTTTTTGCTGCAGCACCAGGACACGATCAAACCCCTTGGTTTATCCTTAAACAATTATCACCGTTAATACACAATACATTTTAAATATATTTAAGTACTGCCTTAACCATGGATACTTCCCTGACGAGTGGAAAGTAGGTGAAATTGTAGTCCTTCACAAAAGCAGAGCAGGCCCTACCAAAGTCGGCAACTACCGCCCAATAACGTTATTACCTTGTTTATCCAAATTATTCGAGAAAATCATCAGATTACTCCTTGAAGAGACTACAAAAAATGCAATTCCGAACTTTCAATTTGGTTTTCAAGCCCAATTATCCAAATCACATCCGGTTTCCATATTGATTTCAAATGTCCAAACTGCAAAAAAAAGAAAACTTCATTCTTCTG